AGTCTAGTCTATAGTCTAGTCTATAGTCTAGTCTATATGTCTAGTCTATAGTCCTAGTCTATAGTCTAGTCTATAGTCTAGTCTATAGTCTAGTCTATATTGTCTAGTCTAGTCTAGTCTAGTCTAGTCTAGTCTAGTCTAGTCTAGTCTATAGTCTCTAGTCTATAGTCTAGTCTATAGTCTAGTCTATAGTCTAGTCTATAGTCTAGTCTATAGTCTAGGTCTATAGTCTAGTCTATAGTCTAGTCTATAGTCTAGTATATAGTCTAGTCTATAGTCTAGTCTAGTCTAGTCTATAGTCTAGTCTATAGTCTAGTCTATAGTCTAGTCTATAGTCTAGTCTATAGTTAGTCATAGTCATCTAGTCTAGTCTATAGTCTAGTCTATAGTCTAGTCTATAGTCCTAGTCTATAGTCTAGTCTATAGTCTAGTCTATAGTCTAGTCTATAGTCTAGTCTATAGTCTAGTCTATAGTCTAGTCTATAGTCTAGTCTATAGTCTAGTCTATAGTCTAGTCTATAGTCTAGTCTATAGTCTAGTCTATAGTCTAGTCTATAGTCTAGTCTATAGTCTAGTCTATAGTCTAGTCTATAGTCTAGTCAATATTCTAGTCTATATTCTAGTCTATAGTCTAATCTATAGTCTAGTCTAGTCTATAGTCTAGCCTGTAGTCTAGTCTATAGTCTAGTCTATAGTCTAGTCTATGGTCTAGTCTATAGTCTAGTCTAATCTCTAGTCTATTCTATATTCTAGTGTACAGTCTAGTCTATAGTCTGGTCTATAGTGTAGTCTATAGTTTAGTCTATAGTGTAGTCTTTAGTCTAGTCTATAGTCTAGTCTAGTCTATAGTCTATAGGAAGCTGAATATTTACGAGTTTCCGATTCACTTCCTCTTCTAATTCAAACATACTTATGTTCATAATCTAAATCTACTTGTTATTTAAAATTCTCCAAATCTATTCACATTCACTTTACCCAAACTTAAGACCAAAACAGATTAATTTTTTTTTTTTTTTTGCAAAATACAAAATCAAAACATTTGATGAAAAACACACACGTCTTAAGGTCTCTAAATATGTATCGGAGCCATTCACAATATAAATATTTTAAGAATTCAAATATAATTTTGTTATGGTCGTTTTAGAAACAAACACTGTTTTTTTTTACAAACTAATTATTACTCGTATTATGTTTTGTATTTTTTTTTGTTGTTAGTGTAGCTTTTTTGAACATAATCCGTTTTTGGATTCCGGCACAGCGGTATGATGACAGAATAAATAATTAACTAAATGGTCAGTCAAATGAAGTGAAGACATTTTGAAAATACATAGTTTTGCACATTGACGTGTTTAATATGGGGTTTTTATGTTTAAACTTAATTTAAATTTAAAAATATTTTTTCGTGAATCATAATTTTGTATATTTAGATTTTTTAGAAATACAAAAAAAAAAAAAAAAAAAAATAGCATTTATATAAATTATGAATAACACAAATTTTAATAATATTCTAATATAAAACATCTCTTTTGAATTAAATTTTAACATAAGGAATAAACGGTTGTATAGGTATTATATGGGTTGTATTGAACTTTTTTTAAGAATACGTATTATGATTCAGAGCAAACAAAAAAATACTCTGGTTCCAAAGTTTAACAATGAAAGAAATCCAAATTTCGTGGTTTTAAAATTTATAAATACACTAATATGGATTTTGCCAAAATATCCCTTCAGGTCCATAAATTTTTTTGCTTTTGACAATCCAGTTTTAACACATCTAAATATTGAACAGACATATGGGTAATTTCGTATCAAGTGACCCAGCTCAAAATGAAATGAAATTTGGATGAAATTTGCACTATTCAAAAACTTTTGTATAATAGGCCAGACACAAATTTTCAGCACTATCAATCAAAAACTGAGTACTTAGTGGGGGCCTAAGTTAGACATTTTGGTCATACAGGGTTTTATTCAAATGAGTGTAACTTTTGACCTATTGATCCAGGCAAAAATTGTCCAAATTAGTTCAGATAGCTTTTTATTCTAAATCCAGTTTCGAAAAGTTTTCTTGATGTTGCGATTTCATAGTAACATTTGGAACAGGCATTGAAAATTCAGTACTTTAGTACTTTTTTTCAGTCCTTTTTGATATTGAAAAATAGATTTTCTTCTAGTCTAAAGTCTAGACTATGGTATAGTCCATAGCCTAGTCTATAGTCTAGTATATAATATAGTCTATTATCTAGTTTATGGTCTAGTCTATAGTTTAGTTTGTAGTCTAGTCTAGTATATAGCCTCGTTCATAGTTAAGTCTATAGTTTAGCCTGTACTCTAGTCCCTAGCTAATAGTCTATTCTATATTAAGCCTAATTTATGGGCTGGTCCAAAGTCTAGTCAACAGTTTAGTCTATTTTCTAGTCTAAGGCTGATGCCAGAGTAGGCGCTACAAGCAATGCGAAGCTTTGCGCTACAAACCTTTCCTTGTATTTTCCTATGTGTCATATCAGAGTGAAAGCGAAGATTGATGCGAGAAAACACAAGCAATAGTTTAGTTTGTAGTCTTTGTAGCGCAAACCTTCGCATCGCTTGTAGCGCCCACTCTGACATCAGCCTAAAATCTAGTCTATACTCTAGTCAAAATACCTGTCTATAGTATTAGACTATACTAATAATCTAGTCTAAAGTCTAATCTATAGTTTAGTCTACAGCCTAGTCCATTATAAAGTTCAACCTAGTCTATAGTCCAGTCTAAAGTCTAGGCTAGTTTACATTCCACTCTAGCCTATAGCCTTAGTCTATAATATATTCCAAAAGCTATCCTATAGTCTAGCTTATAATCTAGTCTATAGTCCAGGCTTTAATCTAGACTACAATATAGTTTAGTCTAGCTTAGTCTTGTCCATTGTCTAGTCTACAATTTAGTTTTTAGTCCAGTCTATAGTCTAGTCTAAAGTCTAGTCTATAGTTCAGTCTAAAGTCTACTCTATAGTCTAGTCTACAGTCTAGTCTATTATCTAGTTTATAGTCTAGTCTATATTCTAGTATATAGTCCAGTCTGTAGTCTAGTATATAGTCTATAGCATCGTCCACAGTTAAGTCTATAGTTTGGTTTGTACCCTAGCCCCTAGTTTAGTATATAGTCCAGCCTATATTAAGTCTATAGTCTAGTCTTTAGTGTAGTTTATGGTCTAAAGTCTAATTTACAGATTAGTCAATTTTAATGTCTAAAGCCTAGCCTATAGTCCTGTCTATAGTATAATCTATAGTGTAGTTTATAGTTTAGTCTATAGTCTAGTGTATTTTAAACTATAGGTTATAATCTAGTTTATAGTCCAGTCTAATCTACAGACTATTCTATAGACTTAGTCTATAATGTAGTCAATAAGCAATCCTATAGTTTAGTTTATAATCTAGTCCAGTCTATAATGTCGATTACAATCTAGCTTATGGTCTTGGCTAGTCTGAAGTCCAGTCTAAGTAGTAGTTAGTTAGTTAGTTAGTTAGTTAGTTAGTTAGTTAGTTAGTTAGTTAGTTAGTAGTTAGTTAGTAGTTAGTTAGTTAGTTAGTTAGTAGTTAGTTAGTTAGTTAGTTAGTGTTAGTTAGTTAGTAGTTAGTTAGTTAGTTAGTTAGTTAGTTAGTTAGTTAGTAGTAGTTAGTTAGTTAGTTAGTAGTTAGTTAGTTAGTTAGTTAGTTAGTTAGTAGTTAGTTAGTTAGTTAGTTAGTTAGTTAGTTAGTTAGTTAGTAGTTAGTTAGTTAGTTAGTTAGTTAGTTAGTTAGTTAGTTAGTTAGTTAGTTAGTTAGTAGTTAGTAGTTAGTTAGTTAGTTAGTTAGTTAGTTAGTTAGTTAGTTAGTTAGTAGTTAGTTAGTTAGTTAGTTAGTTAGTTAGTTAGTGGTTAGTTAGTAGTTAGTTAGTTAGTTTAGTTAGTTAGTAGTAGGTAGTTAGTTAGTTTAGTTAGTTAGTTAGTTAGTTAGTTAGTGTAGTTAGTTAGTTAGTTAGTTAGTTAGTTAGTTAGTTAGTAGTTAGTTAGTTAGTTAGTTAGTTAGTTAGTAGTTAGTTAGTTAGTTAGTTAGTTAGTTAGTAGTTAGTTAGTTAGTTAGTTAGTTAGTTAGTTAGTTAGTTAGTTAGTTAGTTAGTTAGTTAGTAGTTAGTTAGTAGTTAGTTAGTTAGTTAGTTAGTTAGTTAGTTAGTTAGTTAGTTAGTTAGTTAGTTAGTTAGTTAGTTAGTTAGTTAGTTAGTGTTAGTTAGTAGTTAGTTAGTTAGTTAGTTAGTTAGTTAGTTAGTTAGTTAGTTAGTTAGTTAGTTAGTAGTTAGTTAGTTAGTTAGTAGTTAGTTAGTTAGTTAGTTAGTTAGTTAGTTAGTAGTTAGTAGTAGTTAGTTAGTTAGTTAGTGTTAGTTAGTTAGTTAGTTAGTTAGTTAGTAGTAGTTAGTTAGTTAGTTAGTTAGTTAGTTAGTTAGTAGTTAGTTAGTAGTTAGTTAGTTAGTTAGTAGTTAGTTAGTTAGTTAGTAGTTAGTTAGTTAGTTAGTTCGTTAGTAGTTCGTTCGTTAGTTAGTTATTTAGTTAGTGAGTGAGAATATACTTCTGTCTCTGGGTTAAAAATGTGTTGACCAGTGTAATTGTACGATTTAAAAGCAACAGATTGCAAATGTTGACCAATTTATTTAATTAAATCAAGAACTATGACAAACTATCAAACCCCTCAACACAAATCGCCAGTAATATAATATCAACTTTTAAAATATTTCAACAAAATTTCCCAAAGTGTTTAAATTGTAATAAATTAAAAATATTAAAAATTACAAACGAATAAATTAAACAAAATAAATATAAAGTATAATTAATTAATTGTATACAAATAACTGAAAATGTTTTAGAAAAATATTACAAAATATAAATATAAAAAAAAACATTAAGAAAATAATCCATAATTTATTACAAATGAAATGAAGTAATTGTTACCAACCAATTAATTAATAAATAATTAAATAATTTATTTCTTTACAGATATTTAGTTAGAGAGAAAAATAATGTGATATTTAAACGAACAAAATACGAAATTATTAAATAAATAAATTTTAAAAATAAATTAAATGAAAATAATCAAACACATGTCAAAATAGTGATAATAAATAATTATTATAATTTTAAGTTTAATTTACGAATGTGTTACAACAAATATCTACAACAAAAAAAGTGTTTCAAGTGTTTTTATGATTTTTTCTACAAAAGCAATAAATTTTTATAATTTATGCAAATGTTACTAATACCACAGAAATCCAGACCCCAAGAGGGTCTGTTGCTGCTCTCCCCTAAGTTGTGGATTAGTTTAGTTGTAATTTTATTAGTCTGTTTGGATGTCAATTGTTATGGTAAGTACTATATGTATAATATTTATTTCAAAATCTTAAAGTCTAAGGCTCTTTTAATGTTTACCTTTTCTTTTAAAAACTATTATTTATTTTACAATTATATTTTGTTATTATTTCAACTAATTAAAATTTACAAGATCAAGTTCCATTGATAAAAAAATATAGCTTGTCTTAAAAAATAAGTTGTTTCTTTTGATGTTATCAAACACTTTTTTGTTGCTATTCTTAATGATAAATTGACTATTTCGCTTTTTAGTTTAAAACTAGATTAAGTTTATTTTTACCAAAATTGGCTTAAAAATTCAATTAGTTTTTTTTTCTAAAATTGTTTTATAGTTTAAAGTATTGCACAAAATAATAGTAGATTGTAACTGAAAATAACATGTAATGAAGTTATAGACACTTTTTGTGTCATTTTAGTTTTTGTCAATTAGTTGAAGCATGTTTAGTTGCCAATTATTTGCAACAAATAACGAACAATGGAAAGAATTTTTTATGAGTTCAAAATAACTTGGTTGTCGTAAAATATATAATAAATAGTTCCAAAAGTATGAAATCCGATTTTAATTTAATACACTTCTGAACTATAGAACATACTGAGCCTAATTTGGACGACTTGCGAAATCTAGAAAACTCACTACATCAGACTCTCAGAAAGGGTTTGTTAACAAATCTATAGGTTTGGTTGTTGCGGAAATTGACCTAAAAGCCTATTCATTTTAGTCCATAACCTTGGACTCACTTATATTTCTACTTCAGAATCTCAGAAAAGCTTTGTTAACGAATCTATAGGTTTGGTTGTTGAGGAAATCGAACTAAAAGCCGACACATTTGGGTCCATGACCTTGTTACGTTTTGTAATCCGAAAACGAATCATGAGTCGACCTAATCCTAGCCCGAACGAACGATTCTATCTTATCGATATCAACATTTGATAGATTCCTTAAATCGTGCAGTGTCGGACTGCCGATGTTCCTAGTCTAATACCCCACGTAGCAAGTCAGAGACAAAGAAAATGTTTTATAGAATGCGCTTCCACTAGTTTCACTAGAGCCCTGTCAAGAAAGCCCTTACAAAAGTTCAAAAAAAGTTCGCGAACCAGCCTGGACTTAGTGTAAACACTAGGTAGATTTCTAACAGCAGGTTTATTATCAGTTCCAGCCTAATTAGACGTATGACCGATATGCTTAGACTTCCAAATGCCTGTCAACTACAAAAAAAGCATGTGATGGCATGCTCCTAATCGCGTAAGTGATCAATAGTGCCGAGGTTCGTATAATGTTCTCGATAACATTCCAGTAGGTTCACTTTACAAGGAAAGGGCACCGTTTCGCAGTATTGGAGCCAATGCTTAAGGTTCTTATAACAACTCGGTTGGACATTCAGATTCCATGAACGTTTAGAATCTAGGACAAAATATGACCAAATATTTCTCACTATCAAAGAAAATAAATTTAAATCAATTTAGACGTGCTAGCGGGAAAGGTGGAATCTTATATCTCTTGGAGAATAAAAAAAAGTTTAGTTTTCTCCAAATTATCATCATCATTTAACAATGAGTTTATATCAAAATTTCAGAAGAGAGGTGTAAGAACCCCGCCTTGTGGTGTGCACCGATTTTTTCTTAGGAAACTACAACAACGATAGTGGAATTCTTTGTCTTTCAGTTTTCTCCAAATTATCATCATCATTTAAGCCTTGTGGTGTGCACCGATTTTTCCTTAGGAAACTACAACAACGATAGTGGAATTCTTTGTCTAACTTAACAATTGAAAGAATGTAGGGAACTTTGTAATCAAGGGGAAAGGTACTACAATTCGTTAACTTTATACCTATAACATGTTCAAAAGGTAAACAAGGTGGACTAAACGGTACTAAATACTTTAAATCCCTTAAAAATACAGGGCTGGATCTTATACATATATCAAGTTTTGTTGTGTCAACATATGCACATTCGCAAACGATGGATCACGGGGTACGCACTTATGTCCATCATTCTGATATCTTTGTGTGTTAACATAATTTGTGATCGTAGTAAATAATACTGCAATAATGATCACTGGTGCGATTCGTAGCACACCGTCATAGGCGTTGTTTACCATCATGCACTGGTTGCCTGACGATCTGATGGCCAAGCAATTGTCCTTACTCGGCGGTCAGACTTCATGCTGCTGGGATTTGGTAGTCTAACCGGAATGATCATGGTTCTATCTTGGGGAACACGACATATAACCCCGAGAATTTCGATTACTGCCCCGCCACGCTCCTTCCGGACAAACGATTCACAGCGGTTTCTTAATTCCCCGCTTTATAAGTCTGCTCAGACCAGATGGTCAGCAATGATTTACTGCTCAAGATCAAGAATGACCTGGCCTCTCTATGATGAACGAAGCTCTATATGTTTGATGGGACTTTCCAAGATGAGACTATGTGTATTGGTAGCCATCCTCATAGGACACTGTATTATAGGTTGACATGCCAGAAGACTAAATCTTTCATACAATGTCAAACACGGACATGTAATGTCCTATAGGTGGATCCGTTACAGGGTAACATAGCGGGATCATTAGGACCCAAGTGAATCGGTCATTGGTCGACTGCCTCAACAACCTAACCTAAATCCTATATTGACAACATTATCTTTCCAGACTGGAATTATGACCAGCTTTATCCAATAGTCATTTGATATCATAGATGAAGTGCTTTACACAAAAAAGTTCAACTGTCGCGTCAAATTAATGACATGTGCCAAAGAGGTTCTGTTGAAACACATTAGACTCAAAGAGTTACATATCTGTGAATAAAATATTAAGGAGTAGATAGATATACAAACATTATCCAAGGACACAAAGAGTCAATACATCATTCTAGCTGAATGATTTTCTACGAACTGCAAGACCTTTTGCTTCCACTCAGATCGATTAGTACTTGTTTCGTTTTTCAGAAAAGAAATACAGATCCGACTCCTAGAAGTCGATCTGTTTTCCGTCTATTAAGGTCCTCCAATTTTAAAAGAATCTATTAAGATTTCGTGCTGGATTTTCTACGACTAGCAAGATCTTTGGTTTTCACTCAGATCGTTTAATTCTTGTTTCATTTTTCAATAAAGAAGTACTTATAAGGACTCGTGCTATCGATCTGTCTTCCATTTTTATACTTTATAAGGTTCTATTAAGGTCTCGTGGTCTAAAATCACAATCAGCCTAAAAACTTGTGGTTCAAACAATTCCCAATAGATTTTTAACAATTTAAAAATTAACAATAAAGAATTTCGAAATAAATTTTTTCCCATATAGATATTAACTATTATTAAAAACAAAAATATTGTTCTCTACAAACCGTTAGAATAGCAAAATATCATTTAACATTTAACAAAACGTCCATTGACATTTGACTTTTCTCAGTCTTGAACATAATCTGACAGATAAATTAATAAAACTAAACACAAACTTCACATGCATAATTGATTGAATGAACAAACTATATATAGCTGTATAAACGAAAGATTTAATTGTATATATAATGATTTCTCTATATGTATGATGTTTCAACATCAATTACTTGGCTCATCAGCATACAGCGAACGAACGAACGAATGAGTGCTCGATCAAAGAAAAAGTTTTCAATTCACAATAATGATTCTTTAATACAAAATCTCCGATTACCAAGTGAAACGTGACCAACCAGACACCGTGGCAGACATTAGAAAACTAAACTGAAATCACACATTCCATCACATACAAACATACATCAAACGCTGGTAGTTATTGAACCTAAAATGTTCATAAACAAATTAAAAATCTATGTATGTATGTTTGTATTTTATTTTAATAATTTTACCGGTTTTTTAAAAACAATATTATAAAATTGAAACAATAAAAAACAAACTATCTTAAAGGCATTAACCAAACCTCTTACGAACTTATTTGTTCTGCTCGTAATCATTGTTCAAACAATCAAGCGTCGTGGCAACAATTTTCATTGCTTCAATTACTACAATGTGCCACAAATTAAGGAAGCGTTTCATCAAACCTCATTTGTTGTTAACAACAGCTATTATTCTTACAAAAAAACAACAACAATATATTGCAAACGCAGCTAAAATACTCGTATCAACTGCAATTCTAATGCAATTGAATTATTGAACCGAAGAATCATTACAATATAAATAATTATATTCATAAACATACATACATATACAAGCATATATTCATATACATATAATTTAATTAATTACATTAAATACTTGTTAGTATGACGTACATAGTTATTATCTATTTCTATTTTAATTTAAAATTTATGAGAACTTTCCTCTAAAATTGCTTTAAATAAAACGATGATGCTTGTGCTGAAAAGTTATGATTGTTTTAGAAAATTTGCAAATTAATTAACTAAATAATTGCATACTTTGTTTCGATTTAATTAAAAGATTTCATGTCTCTATTACATTTTAGTTTTTAGCACACCCCATATTTTTTAATTGTCAAAATTTTTTCTACAAATTCACACCTATTCATAGATTTTTAACATGAAGTGGGAATACTCTCTCACATTTTTCTAGTCCGCTATATAGGAATGTATAGTTCTAGTATTGGTACCAAATTTTTAAAATCTCATTATTTTACAACTTTTGGTAATGATAGTTCGCGTATCTTTTCCTACAAATCCCCCAGACTCTCATATATGTGTGTACATGAATTTTAGTATTTAATTTATATGAGAGCTACCACGCCCACTATTGCTACATAGTCCACTTATTATAGCTCCAATAGTTTCCTAGGTTTTTGTATTTTATTTATATGAGAGGTACCACGCCCTCAATAGTTTTCAATGTTGGTCGTGTATAATTTGAGGATTCTATCTCTAACAGTTTCCTTCACATACGAATTTTTGTATTTAATTCGTGTAGATGATGCCACGCCTCCTATTGCTAGTCCGGTCTTGCTTTTCCCTAATTATTCATATGTATTTCAATGTTTCCCATGAAAAATTTAAGGATT